TATATATATATATATATATATATATATATATATATATATATATATATATATAATTATTATTTTTTTTTTCCTAATGAAAAAAATCTCTTAGATTCATCTGGCCACAGATGTAATTTAGTCAGCAAACAGAGTACATCTCTGTCTTCTTCAGATGTAGTCGCAATTTTACTCTTTGCTTATTAGGCATGTGAGAACACGCCATCACTACTGTAAAATGCAGTGAGAGCAACTTAACTCATTTCACACATTTGTTCTCAACCAAATCAGAGGGTAGTGCTGCTCCCTGCCTGTCTGGAGAGACAGAATGAAATAAGGCACCAGGCCCAGATGGTATCAGCTCCAGAGTTTTAAAGGTCTGTGCAAAGCAGCTCTCTGGGATGCAGGAGTTCCAATAAGAAAAGGACCAAAAAGTACCAGTTTCAAAAAAAAAAAAAAAAACTCAGTCCAGTGACTAAAGACCTGTTGCTCCGACATCCCACATCATGAAGGTCCTGGGGAGACTTCTGTTGTTTCACCACTGCAAACAGGCAGCAATCAGGACCCCCTGCAGTTTGCTTATCATTGTGTTGGAGTTGAAGATGCCATCAACAAACCAGCTGTCATTTAAACTAGGCAGACAGAAATGTGACGATCATGTTCTTTGAATTCTTCAGTGCATTTAAAACAGTTCAGCCTGACTGACTTTGTGATAAACTCCAGAAAAGTCAGGTGGAGGCATCAACGATCACCTGGATCAAACTGTGGTCTGTTTGTCAGAAGATACCTGACAAACAGACCACAGTTTGTTAGACTGAAGGGTCAACTGTGTAATCACGAAGTCAGAAATACACAATCACCACCGCGGGCTGTATTTTTTTTTACTCTGTACATCTGACAGGTGCAACTATGAAATCTTTTACAAGAAAGGACAGAGCAGACTCTGCAGCAAGATGCTACATATCTTCCATAAGAATGTTGTGGAGAGCGTGATCTCTTCCTCCATCATCTGCTGGGATAGCAGCATCAGAGCAAATTACTGTAAAAAAACTTCAAAAAGCTGATAGTCTGACTCTGCTCTAGGAATTCCTTCAGAAATTGTGGAGATTATTTCACAAAGAAGAATTCTTAAAAAAGTGAAGAACATGATGGACAACAGTGAACAACCTCCTCAGAAGATTTTTAAATGACAGTGTCTATAGGCTTCTCCAGATGTGGTGCAAAATATACAGATGGAGAAGACACTTCCTGCTATTAACATCTACAACTCATTTAAAGCTACAGTGTGTAATAATTACAGGGATATACAGTCAGAAATGTAATATATTATACATAACTATGTTATTTATCATCATCTACGAGCTCAGCCTCTTAACCTTAATATTTGCGTTGCCATAGAATTCGTTATTTATAATTACATAGGAGCGGGTCTCGCAGCCATGGAGGCAGACATCTTTGCGCTACGGCAGCGCAGAGCCAACAAACTAGCGATTGCGAGATCGCCCATTATGCTCGAAAGTAACTACAGCAAGTTGAGAGAGATGAACTGAGACGGTACTGAACAATAGATGGCAGTATTAAAATTATCTATGTAAACAAACCTCATCACTTGAGAAGGTAGGTGATGCGGACGTCGTGGAAGACATTTTGTCCCGTAACGCTCGCCGTACTGTTGGGGGGGGAGAAGCGGTGGGGGGGAGATGTTCATGTTGCTGCGGTCTGCAGTCTGGACGTTAGATGTCGCTGAAAATTACACACTGTAGCTTTAAAAAAGAACAGCGAGTTTCAACAACATTCACAGAACATGGAAGTTCCCTTCTGACCGACTTGTTCTGATTTTAATTAAACTGAGAAAGTAAAGAATAAGTTAATGGTAACAATTCAGTTTGTTCACACAAATGTTTAATTGAACGACACCTTCATGACAGACCCGACTCAAGTGTGAGAAATATTGCTGTTTGTAAATAGTTTTGAAAAATACTGGTATATATGGGAAGATAAATAAAAATTTTCTGGCAAATTTGAATGGAATCTCAAATCAAGTACATTAGGGTTAACTTACATTAAGAAATGCTGTCTACACCAGGTATGAGCAACTTAACAAGTTAGGCAAAAGGTCAACATTATTAAATTATTAAAGAATTATACGATCATTCTGATCAAAGATGGAACTTTATAGTTCCTTAACACCTTATAAATGAGCCCCATAGTTTTTATTCAGTTTAACATTAAAGCTATGCACTTATAATTTGTTTATACAAAAAAGCAAATTATATTTTACCCTTTTTTCTGACAGATTCTAAATGTGTTTAATTGCATGTATTTTCTCCCGAACTGATTCAAGGAAACACTTCTAAGATGACTTTAGCAAAAGTCTGCAAAGACGAGATGTACTTTGACAGCTTAAACATGACACTCCCTCGCTGATCCAGGTAAGGCCATAAATCTTAACTCTTCCCATGTCACAACTGTGACATCAGAGCCCCTGCTGGCATCCAAAAGCAACAACTGGGCCCTAATGTAGATTCTTTAGAAAGCACAGGGAGCAGCTGGGGGCAGGCGGGTGTCTGCCGGTTTCACTGCATCCACAGCAACCAAGTAAACACAGCAGCAAACTGTCAGGTTAAACTTAAGCACCGGCGGGTGATGTTTCACTGTCACCAGAAAGCTAACCTCGCACGCATGGCACATGCCAAACGTGTTCTCCTGCTAGCATAAATCTACTTGATTCCCTCTCACCTATGTTATTTTGAAGTCATTTGATCGTATTCTATACATATGGGTAGTATGTTTTTATGATTGTCAGTGGGAGTTCTAAGGGATGACTTCCTCTCTCTACGCCACCCACACGCTATTTCCTTTAACCTCATTTAAATGGAAATGAAAATAAATTGCAGTACATTGAGATGTATTCCTATTAGGTTTTGATCGAACAGAAAAATAATAGTCCCAATACATTATAGCCTAATTTTATTTTACAAGACATTTTAATGCATTTTATGCATCATGAGTAAAAGTTTCAATTATTAAATGTCAAGTTTGAAAGAACCTGAAGTCAAAATAGAGTATTTATTCACACTTACTAGAAAATTTTGCATTCAAGCCAATTCTGTGGATCATGTACAGTTATATCCCAAAAAATTCACACATCATATAGATATATGTTCAAAGTAATCATTTAGAGGCCTAAATGTGATCAAAGATCTGTGAAGAAGCCAAAGTTTAAAGTAATGGTCAGGAAGCCTTTCAGCCTCAAAGGGACAGGAATAATCACCAAGATTGATTATAAAATTAAAGTGAAAACATAACAAATAGCAGGCCAGAAATGATGAGGGTTGTCTTTGCCAGTACAGATTTTCTCACCATAATTACATATATATACTTTTTTTTTTCGATTAAATATAAATTTAGAAAGATGAATTTTGTTCTTTTTTTTTTTTTTTTTAAACAGAAATCTTATTTAATTTTACAAAAAACTTAAAGGAATAGTGGAGGATGTTCTTTTTCCAGCTGGGTCATCAAAATAAGTAGTCCTCCTAATTGGAGGTGATATGATGGTGATATGTTTACATAAGGCTGTCCTACTTGCTTGTCCCCATTTTCACTTACCGGTAGTGAGTCTGATATTGTGGAAAAATTGGAAATTTTCTTTTGGAAAGTAAGCTTGTATGAGCGAATCAAACAGCAACTTTGAAATGGGCTTCTGCATGCTCTCACACACATTTAGAATAGGCGTTCCCTCTCGGGAGCAGGTACAGGTTTTGAGATGGCGGGTGTTTTCAAAAATTAGCAAAAATCCTCCACTATACCTTTAAACCTGAGAGCTTGTCATATGGTCTGCAACAGCACAAAAAAATCATCTTCTTAAGCAGGAAGACATTAACAGATTTTATGTAAGGAATATGGGCCTAAGACTGATGCCTTAGTCCTGTAGTGGGTTTTGTTCAGAACAAGGTCAACATTTTCACCTTGTCAGAAAGTGCTCTTAACATTTTGCTTAGTTGGGGCAGTATTCAACCTCCTGAAAAGAGTCTATATAATAGAGTCTCATAAAGTAAAAAAAAAATAAATTCTAACATTATTTCAGTTGAGAGTTCAATTTCCTTTCTATGTTTTTTTTAATCATAAACACCCATAAAGTTACCACTCTGACCAACAGGTGGTACGAAGAACACAAAAATATCACCTCTCTGACTTTCTTTAAGGCGACAGCAAAATGAGACAGAATTACAAACATCCATCAAATTATTCACAAGGAAGAAACATTTTCGTGGTTGTACATTTTGAAATTTATTGCAAACTACTGTGGATGCATAAGTCTGCATTACATTTATCCATCACACTTCTTCCTTTCGGTACAGTAAAAGCAAATACTGCATTTGCATCCCCCCTTAAAATAATCACACCTCTCTTCCCATCATTAAACCTACTCACAGGTATGGAGGACTATTTCCAATCAGTGATGGTATCAATCTAAATAGACTTCAGACATCTGCTCCTTATCTTTAAACCTTCTCTATGCACGTATCTCAGACCATCTCAACTTTATCCTCACAGATTCCTCTTTTCTTATACAAGATCATGGATAAGAGTCAGTTTCCCATGTTTTATCTCGAAATTCCGTCAGGTTTCATGACATGACATGCGAACAGTACAGAACCTTATTATGGCATCTATACTTGTACAGTTTGTTTTTAATGTGTTATTTTTCTCAACAGTTTCACCTGATTTTAGTTTCCTCTCACCGTGACTCTCATTTGTCAAGGTAAAAGATAAGAACTGCCCTTGGTGTGTCATTCACATGTAATGCCATAAACCTGAAGTCCATCTAAACAATGTTATAAAACAGTTAGAGCTTTGCTAATGGTTTTTAATGCTGTATGAGCTTTTTACCCTGTTACAACCACATTCTTGAATGTACTTTATTCAGATTTTATGTGAGAGACCAAAACAAGTAGCACGTAACTGTGCGGTTTAAGAATAATCGCTACATCATTTTCAGGGAGTTGGGGGGTATTTCATATAATTTTCCCCTTTACTCTAATACCGCTTAGTAAAATTATTGCAAGAAATTACATTTGCAGGTAGATGGAAAACAGTGTGTACAGCTCAGTATAAATAAAGCTGAACAGGAGGTCATGTGTTCAGTTTGCCAGGAACCAAGAGGGCAACATGACAAAAGTAGGAGATCATCATTTTTTGGCTTACATTCAAAACACTGTGGAAAATCAATATCTCTATAGATATAGCGGCACCGTGCTTCCGGAATAATTTTCCTTTACAACAAGAAAGCTGGGCAGAGTTAATAGGAAGGGAGAATGAGACAGGCTAGCTTGGAAGGAAAGGTTGTTGGAGGCTTCAGATTCCCCTTCCCTTTTACAGTTATGCACTACTTCTTGTTGGTCTTCACATACAATTCTAAATACACATTTTAAGAGGTGTTTACACTTCTGGATGGTACTGATTTAAAAAAAAGTAATTTAAAAAGTACCAATAACTCTTTCCTGATGAGGGGTTAAAGCCATCTCGTACCATCGTATTTGGTATCTAACCAAATGCAAGATTTAGAAAAGCTTAAAAGCTAAATATATTTCAAATGTCTGTTTTAATATATAATTCTTACATGTCTCAGTGGAATATACAAAAGAGCTCTTAAAAAGTTCTTAAAAAAGAGAGAAAACTATTATTTTTAGTCATCCAACACTGGAAAAACTATGTCAACTTTACCCACCGTGAATAATAATTTTGCTTTTTATTCAGTTAAATGAGCCTCAGTAGCTTAAAACATTTCACCTCAAATTGCACCAAATGCTCCATTTTTGATTATGCGTTTGAGGGGAACTTTAAAAAAGTGAAAAAATATGTTAAAAACCTGGATAAATCTTAGTAAAATAAACTTTTAGGGAAAGAGGAGAACTGATATGTATTTAAATGGAGGTAAGTAGACTGACCAGCAGCTCCAAATACCTTTTATTTTGTGCTACGCTTTGAAACATTCTGCATATAGCAAATCTACAGAGGGTTGGTGGTATACATCAGCACAAAGGCAAATGAAGCCCTGCTACATATTCAGCTGGAAACAGGACAGAATATATTATTACTTTTATAAAAAAAAAAAAGTCAAAATCAAGCGAAAAACATTGATCCTTCTGGTATAGTGTTTCTAGTAAAGGTTTCACATCAGTCTGTGTCTTTTAGAACCTGGTATTACGGTGAGTGTTAATTGTAAAGATATGCTTCACACATGTGTTCTCGGGGTGATCCTGTTTGCAGTTAAGAAACGCAACTCCTAGTTGTGCTCATAGAATGCTCAAATGCCACGCATAGCTAACGGCCACAAACACGTACAGGCACACGCACATCTCATTACACAAAAGTGTAAACTGAACCAAGACAAATAGAGGAAGTTATCCTGTAAATGTCTCAGCTGGCTCCGACTCATTAGCCCCAACACTACTTATAGTGACCTGAGCACACTGCTAAATCAGAGTCGCAGCTCTGTTTTCATCTGAGAAACATACATAGTGTTACTACTCCTGCCTCACTGGTAAATACAAGAGATGTGCATTGAAGAAAGAAGAATAAAACACTTCATATATACATTATTCAGGTAGGCATTCGGAGCATTTTACAAACCTCAGCAAAAGGTTTCTCTTGTGATGGCAGACAGAAAAACAGTTTTGTTTAATGATTGATGATGAATATTTACGTGGAAATAAACAAATTTGAAATGTAAATATTTCAAATAGGATATGGACCAGATCCATCATAGAACGAATGATTCATTACAGAGAAATGGTCCCTTTCCATAAATAGGTGGGAAATCCCCATTAGCGCATTTATATCCTCTTTAACTGCAATACTACAATATTTAAACAGTCCCATGGCATCATCTCCTTTCATTTGGAACCACAAATTTATTCTCTTTTTTAATTCCATTGTTAGAAGACAGCACCATCATCATTCCATTCATTGATTAATCACTAAGGGTAAATAAATGTGTGTAATTTACACTTTAGCATGTTAATATTATAGAGGCATGTGTTAATCTGAGCATGTCTCTCTCTCTTTAGCAATATTTCATTTTTTTTCTTGGAGGGCCTTGAGGCATTCCTATCCAGGACAGGGTATGTAATTCCTTCAGAGTCATCCGGACCTACCCTGTGATCTTTTTTTTTTTTTTTTTTTGGCATGACATGAATATCTCCACAGAAATCTGAACAAGAGCCTGATAGATATTGATGATAGGTCAGAATTATATTTATCCATAGATGTGTGCCAACAAAGGAGGGGGGAGGTTTGTTCAAAGCTAAACAGCTCTTGTAAATTATCTTTCTATTTTTGCATTATATCAGAATTTTATATACAAAAGCTATCATTTTTGCAAACATTATAAAATACACATGGTAATGGTTTACTCAAAAGTACAGCTAACCCTATTGTTGCCAAGTTTCAAGTTTGAACAACTTATTGAGGCAATTCTTTGCCTATATACAGCAACGTTAGCTTGTTTGATTTAATGAGATGCAAACAATCTAGATTCCAAACAAACAGCTTATAACTACATCTTACCAAATAGGCAAGAAGTGGCAGCCATGTTGGATTTTGAAGTTCCTGTGAGAAACCTCTAATTTCTAAGTCAGAAATACAGACATCATATCAATGCACCAGTAGTTTCTACTGACTAAGTACAACCAAGAAAATGGAACACCACATTGAAATGCTTCCAAGCAAGCTAAAAGCTATAAGAATGAAGCAGAGCTGCAGCACAAACTGCAGTGAACCAATTATCTACTTGTTGACTAGTAAATCTGGTTCTTCAAACCTGTAACCCCAAAGAACACAGTTGAAACATTCTGCATTCTGTCTGTGGAAACTTAACTGGTCTGCTAATTCTCCTAACAAACACTACAGGTCTGAGTTAACTGTTATTAGCTTTCCATTAATCCATCACTTATAGACTAATAAGGAGAATTTGCCTCAACCCACAACACTGCTTCATCATACCACTGATGTCTGTTCATGCATTTTCCTGAACACACTAAGGATCACATTGAAAGTATTCCAATGGTTAGAGTTGCATCCATTAATTTAAAAATGTTGCTAATTTGCAAGCTAAAAACCTCAACTTTTATATTTAATGTGTGCTATATTTCCTACTTGATTTAATAACTGCTAGATAAAATAAAAAAAATGATAATTCCATATCAATTAAGGTAAAATAATGAGAGAACAAACATGTCTTCATATTAAATCCTGTTGGTATTACAGTACATACATGATGCCTCTGTTAATATCAATATTTTGTTAATAATAACAGATAGCATAAACTGTCATTAAGCAGACTCAGGATGCTCTAGAAACAAATCTTCTGATTTTAATGATGCTACCTTTTGATTTCTAAGGAACATACATTTCATTCATATGAGCATATTTTGTGCTTTCAAATTAAACACAGTCTCACTTTAAATACATAATAATCTTAAGTTATTAATAAAACAGATTGGCTGTAAAATACACTTTATTTTAAACAGAACTGTCTTGTTTCCTTATGAATAGATTGCAGGGCACACATGGCATTTAATTACAGTTCGATCTAAACAGCACCTGAATGGAAAGTATCTCTACGATTCATATCTATAAAGTGCTACAATGCATACAGAAAACAAGAACAAACAGCAGAGGAGAGTAACAGGTGACGACGATGATGGAAGTTGTCCAGAGAGAGGTTCACAGGGATGAAAACTCCACTTACGGTGATTGAACGCAGATTCCTCTGCAGAGTCATCTGAAAATAAAAAAGAGATGCAACTATGTTAGTGTGAAAAGTCAGGTGATATTATAGGCTTTGATATTTACACATTTTTACTTATTTGTTTCTTCTGTTGATAATAAAGCACCTTGCAAAAATATCCATGTCCACTGAGCTTTATCAAATGTATTTATGTTAAAACCACAGGCTAAAATACTGTATGTATCACTGGGTTTTGTGGCTCTAGAACCAATACTACTAGCAGTGCATTATTACGAAATGAGAGTTCGGATATTAAAGGAATTAGAGGCATGATGAGGAAATTAGACTCAAATGCCAGTAACTGCAGAAACCTGCCAAGCCTGAAGTCTTATATTCACAGCACTGCGCTGGTGATGCTGCAATGATGTTTACTATGGGACATTTTTTACCCCGTTGTTGCAGTAGATGTAGATGCAGGAGGCTTCCTGCATCAAAGCTGTAGGGGGTAGCGTCAATTGACCTCACACCTGGGTCATTGGTTTTTAATGCTTCATCAATTCAATTGAAAGTAAAGGTTATTTTGTCCAATAAGAAAATTATGGGGCAACATTTTGTATAATAAAAGGAAAAGGCATTAAAAACACTTGCAGATATGATAAATAGCTAATGGGAAAGCCTTTTTTTGGTAGTTTGTAATC